GGAATAGATACTTCCTCAATACCCTCAGAAGGAACCAACCACCTCCACATCTTGCTTTCAGACTTGTAAGCTCTAGGATGTGCTCAAACAAATTTCTGTTGTTTAAGTGTCCTGTTTCATGGGACCTTTGTCATGGAAGCCCTAGGAAACTGATACTGTGACCATAAGTAAGGCATTTTTTCAAAAGGCGACACTGCAGCTAGAAATCCAGGGAAGGCTTTACCACATACAAGATTTGAAATTCAGCACTCAAATGCCTCTTTTCAAATCTGTTGACAGAAATATATTCCAAAAGTGATTCTTAGATTTATATGATTAGTCACAAATACGAAGGGTTAAAAATCTTCACATTGCATACTTTCCCAAAATAGAAATCCAGGCAAATCATATTCTTGATATTAACTGGTATTTCTACACAAACATGAAAACATAAATTGAAGTGAAGCAACAGTCAGAAACCAAAATATTTAGGGATTAAAAAGGGGTATTTGGTAACATCTGGTCTAACTTCTTTTAATAGCTGAAGAAAATGTTTTAAAACATACATGTTTTTAAAAATGTATGTCTTATCTAGTGCCAAGAAGTTAGTCAGAGTCAGAGATCATTTACTAGGACCCAGACTATGTAAATACTGTGATCACTTTATCCTTATCTAGATCTTTCAACAGGCTCCTACCCTTTGGAATTCAACCCAGGAAAGTACATTTTAATTTCAATTTAAGGTTGATAATTTTAATGTATCTATTCTCATCTTTGTTCTGAGTGGCAAGATTTATTATCTTAATTTTATAGATGAGAAAACTGAAGCTCAAAATCACTTAAGATAATCAATTTACATGGGCAAAACTTGAATTTAAGTCTTTAGATTTTAGACTTAAGAGGAATTAAAAACAGTGAAGTAAAGACCAGTGAAACTGAGACATTTGGAAAACAAGTTTTTGAAGAGCAAAAGAAATCAATCTCTAAGAGTTGAGAGAGAGCTAATAGAAAAATTGGAAATTATAGAAAAGCTGGAGAAGCCAGGGGTGGTGGACAGCAGATGCCTGTAATCCCAGCCTTTAGGAGGCCAAGGCAGGAGGATTGCTGCAAGTTTGAGGCCAACCTAAACTACACAGCTAGTTCAAGGGCAGCCTGAATTCCTGAACTACAAAGTGAGTGTTGTGCCCAGATTACGAAGTCCCAAAGACCACCAGGAGGCCGTTTCCGATGTAAGCACATGAGGGTCATTTATTCAAGCTTAAGCAGGGACTCTCAATTGTCACCAACACAGCGGATCAAGATTGAGAGCCCCGAGTTCCAAATTAGCAGGGTTTTTATTGAGATTACAACAAGCTTTGGTCATTAGCAGCCATATGATTGGTTAACATGTAGCAAGTATGAAGTGTAGAATTTTGATTGGCTAGGCTCATTGGGGGTTGAAGGGGATTACGTATAGGTTATTACAAGAAGAATGGGGACAAAGGTTAGTGGTCTACTGTCACGTACTGATGGTCAGCAGACATCCTGACTAATGGCCATGACCACCTTGTGTGGACAGTCAGCACGTTAACAGATTGTCCTATAGATAGTGGGCCCAGGACATTTGTTTCTAGGGCAAACAGATGGCTGAGTAATAAATTTAGAAATCCTGAGTTGTGGATTACGTCCTTTGTCCCAGTTCAAGCACTAATTTGAGAAAACAAAGGCGACTGCTCCATTTTGGACAAAATGGAGTCATTCTGGTCCCACATTCACAAAATGGAGTCACTTTCGGTCTCACATTCCCCCCTTCTCATGATGCTATGGAGGACCAATCATGGGCCTCTGGGGGTTAATTCCATCAGGTCAGTGGGAATTGGCTGGTATTGAGATCTGAGTACCATCAACTGAACAGCGTTAATTTGTTCTTTGATGAACGAGACTAGTCTATTGAGTATACAAGGTCCAAAGGTTAACAGTAGTAACAGAATAAGCAAGGGGCCTAGCAGGGTAGAGATTAGGGTAGTTAGCCACGGGGAGGAATTAAACCAGGATTCGAACCAGTTTTGAGATTGTTCTCTTTCTCGTTTGTGTTTGGCGATGCCTTCTCTAACTTTGGCCATAGATTCTTTGACCACCCCTGAATGACCTACATAGAAACAACATTTTTCACCTAAGGCGATGCAGAGTCCTCCCTGTTGAAGAAAAATTAAATCTAGCCCCCTTTGGTTTTGGAGGACTACCTCTGCCAGGGAAGTTAGAGACTCTTGGAAGTGAGAGATGGAACTCTCTAGTCTCTCAATATCTATATCTATGGCTGCCCTTAGATCATTGTAATGTTTATTGTGTAGCACTAGTGATGAAATCCCCATTCCTGCCCCAGCTAGTCCCAAACCTAGGAGAATGGTCAGAGTGATGGCTGTTACAGGTTCTCGTTTAACCCTGACTTGGGTCTCAGTCAGGTGACTGAAGATGTCTTTTTCTGAGTGATATAATAGCTGGGGGACTAATTGTACCAGTACACAGAAATCCCTAGTCTGCCTGAGCACTTCTCCATGTACACAGGGGGTGAGTCCAGAGGAGCAGGCCCACCATCTGTCAAAAGGGGGAATGAGATATCTTTTTGATTTAGGCCGAGAGGTTTTGTTACAAAGGTGTTGGTGGGAGGCCGGGACACTGCCAACACAAGTTCCTTGTCCAGTTACCGATTGTAGGGTCAGCCTAGCTGTCCCTTTTTGTTGCCATCTGCACTGAGTTGGGCTGTCTGATTTAGTGAAATTGTCTAGATAAGCTATTGCCTCATAATAAGGGGGCTTGATATCATAGCAAAACCAGCAAGACTGAGTTAGGGCTGGCCTAGACGCATTTAGGGCCTTAAAGGTGTGGACCATCAGTCCCCAAAGGGGGTCTTGGTCCTGGCTACGGTCGACGTTTTCTGCCTGGGTGGTCATTCGAATGGAGGGCAGGAATGTGGAAGTGGAGGTTAGGTTTGGTGCCTGTATGGAGGTATTTGTTTCTGGTGGCATAGGTGAGCTTTCCTGGGGAGGGGGCTTGGTAGGTCTGGGAGGGGCTATAGGGACTAGTGCCAGATTTGGCCCTATCAGCTGGGGAGGCCCTATGGCAAGTGGCTCCTTTTTTAGTTTTATAGTAAAAAGTAATCCATTATCATATCCACTTTCATATAATCGCAACCCCCAACTGCGGCCTGCCTCCCAATTTGTGAACTTTTTGCCTGGGTCCGTAAAAGTAATACAGATGGGGTTACATAGAAATTGGGTACAGCGGCTGAGGAGAGGGTTGTGTGCCAACTTCTGTTGGGGAATCTTGTTGACCGAAATAAAATCGGTTGTAATGGGGGGTTCCCAAGTTATGGCCCCCGTTGACTCACAACCCCAATTTTTGCAAAAGAACTGTTCAGCACCTCCACAAGTTACAATTTGACTTCTAGTACACCCCCCTCCTGGACAGAAGTAGAAGGGAGTATCTTGCAATATTGTCCTGTGAATTTCATGGTTGCAACCCGGTTTTCGTGAATCAACCGGGGGGAGGGTACATCCCTTTCCTGTTTCCCCACATTCTGGCCTTCCCCGTGACTCTAGGCTCCAGTGTCCGATATCCCAACTGCCAGTGGCCAGCCGACAAAGATCAAACTCTAGGGCAGGCCACCAGGTCAACGGTGGGCCCACTTTGGATGAGCTGTTAATAATGTCACCCGTGGAGGTACTAATGATCATCCAAGTTAAATTTAGGGGAGCATGTGGGCTTTGTCCTCTTAATATTGGTGTTAAAAGTACAGTTACCACGATCATGACCGTCGACGACGCAGCTTGAGTTTGAGAGGATTGTCTTGGTCCTTGGACACCTGCCATGATGGAACAAAGTCTTCTAGGACAGCGTGTGGATCCGTGGGGCAGACGTGGGTGTAGTGCACCCACGAGGCAATCCCGTCGACCTTGAGAGCGGTGGGCGTGGTTAGGACTGTGACGTAGGGTCCTTTCTAACGGGGCTCAAGGTCCTTCTGTCGATATCTCTGGATGAAGACCCAGTCTCCTGGTCAATAGCGATGGGGCTCAGGAGGTGGTCCAGTCTGGTACAGGGCTTCTAATTTAGGCCAGATGTCCTCATGTATGCATTGGAGGCTTTTTAAAGAAAGTAGCAACTTTTGGTCATCAAATTCAACAAGCACATTTGACTGAAGGTTGGGAATAATGAGAGGGGGAATTTCAAACATAATCTCAGAGGGAGTTAGTCCCATCTTATAGGGTGAATTGCGTGCTCTGTAGAGGGCAAAGGGAAGGAGAGTCACCCAGTCACCGCCAGTCTCTAAGGTTAATTTAGTTAAGGTCTCTTTTAAAGTTCTACTCATCCTCTCTACTTGTCCTGAACTTTGGGGTCTATATGCACAATGTAATTTCCAATCTGCCCCCAATATCTGTGCTAAAGTTTGACTCACCTTGGAAATGAAGGCGGGTCCATTGTCTGATCCTAACATTACTGGAAAACCATACCTTGGCAGGATGTCTTCTAGCAGTTTTTTGGTCAC